ATAAAAGACAACACGTGGCACTAAGAAGTGGGCAAATTTGAGCTGTTTGTGAAATATTTCCATTTGGAGTTGAAAGTTGCTGTGTAGTCTACACCCTTTTCTTGTTTTGTGCATCAGAAACAACTGCTAAATGTCACAGATGCTAGCTAAAAAGCCACCAAAGGCACATTGCAATGTAAACGCTAACTCCACCAAGGGGTGGATGTATCGAAAGTTTTTCCTCATACAATGGTTAAAATTGCTTTATCGTAACCATCGAGTATAGATTGCCGTGGCAAAATTAAGCTGTCTGCATGTAATTCAGTGTCAGTTTTTATTCTCCCACATGCTGTGAATGTATCATTAATTCCCCCTCTTCCAACAGGAAACATTTCTACCAGGCACACTGCACTTCATATACTACCAGATAGGGAACAATATGGTGACAGCAGAAGTTTCAGACGAGCGAGGGTTTGGATTTCACAAGGAGGATGTCGAACAAAATGCAGTTATTTGCAAAACATGCTGTAAAACTATTGCCATGAAAGGTAACAGGACCAAGAATTTATTCCAAATCATCCACTGCAAAACTAAAAATGTTTTAAATTCGGCATGTCAGCATCTCTCCACACACCAAAGAAAGTGTTAAATAAACCAGCTGTGATACCTGCGACTGTTCTTGGTCAGTCGTTTTCATAGTCACTATTTGTTCTGTAATTTGAGGTGACTACATTTTTTATTTTACAATTTCTATACGTTACGAGCACAAAACAGCACCTATTTAATTTTAATTGTTTTATTTTTTCTTAACTATTGCTTTTTTGTAGCTATGATCTTTCGTTTGTAAAAGCCGAGTGTTGATGACAAAAAGACTTACTGTCGCAATATTGTCATTTATGAAAAAAGTCTGTGCAACTGATGTTTACAAAAAAAACAACAAAAAACCAAAACATTAAAATAAAACATTTCAATTCATTCAGATTTTTTTGCATTAAAAGAAAACAAAATATTGAATTGTTGCTTTGAATGAGCATACTTGTGCAATTTTAGGCATTATACGGTTGAAAATAACATCTGTTTCTGAAGGTTATTTAAACATACAGTGGAACCCCGACTTACGAATACCCCGTTTCACAAAATTCAAGTTACGAAGGCACTGAACGGCAATATGTCTGTCCGTGTTACAGCAAAACGCCCGAGTAACGAAATCCGCTGGCTCTGATTGGCTGAGCCTACAATGCCTTCCGAATCATGTGACAACCCCTTGGCTTCTGTACTTGCGCTTCGCTGTTCCACTTGAACGACGTATTGTTGTTCTAGTTAGCAATTAGCCTATAGCCTATCGTTCAGCATCGCCTCACTCAAAACCCGCAATGGGTGCTTCAACTTACCAAAATTTTCGGTTTACGAAAGACCCTCAGGAACGAATTAATTTTGTAAGTCGGGGTTCCACTGTATTGTCACATACATCATGTATGTGACAATACAGTGGATTGTATGTATTGTGACATTAGATTTTCCTAATATCACTCAGCCCCATCTCCAGCTGAACAACAGGAGGAGTGATACACTCTCCAAGTGTCATGCCTGTGATGTGCCCCTCTGTCTTGTGGTGAACAGGAACTATTTTTGGGGGCGGTACGAATAATTTGTGTGGCATTTTATGTGTGATATGTTACGCTGTTGTTTGCTAAATTTGTATGTTTGTAGTTTTAGAAATGTGTTGTTTGTGGATTTCACAGCAAAATAACAAAAACAAATCAAACTTTTTCCTACTCCACTTTATGTTTGTTGTGTGGTTTTGGGTCCATGTTAATACAGTGTGTCAAAATGAAATAACTGCTAGACATGGGGGATTGTGTCTTTTTTCCCCCCCAGCAGTTCAAAATGAGTTAAATGAGTTAAAAATAACCAATTATGTCCTTGAAGGGTATAATGCCAAGCAAGGACAAAAGTTTCACAATGAACAAAGTTTTATTAAGCTGAAACTCTTCATTTCATCTCTACTTTCCAGATTTTTTCCTTCATTTTTTCATTTAAATTTACTGATTAATTTTCTATCTACAGTGGCTTGTGCAGCACAGGCAAAAAATAAGCAAACTTAGAGACTACAAGAGCACAAACTGGACAGATGAAACATAAATAAGCTGACACCTTTCCAGCCTTCACTCGTTCTGACATACAGCAATTACTCACCTTGGCACGGACGTTTTCAAACGAGGCAGGACTCACAAGCGAAAAGCAGATAAGAAACACATCCTGGTAAGACACGGAAAACAAAGCAATCAGAGCCTGTAACAATCACTTCCTGTTAAGAATACTGGAAGGGGTGGAGGGGAATCCTGTGTTCGCAAAGGTGTGCGTGTTTCTTTCTGTTTTTTTTTTTTTTCCTTTTAACTTCCTCATTCATTCTCAGAAATCAGACTCTGGTTTATGCATGGAGGATAATACACGAACTGTAGCACAACACTGTCTGATTATGTTTTTGTTGTGGTTGTTGTACCGTCTGTGGGTAGGAAAGTGGGCGGAGTCTGTCGTAGTCTTCTTGTCCTGCTGTATCCCAAAGACCCAGGTTCACCGGCTTCCCATCCACCATAACATTGGCGGAGTAGTTGTCGAACCTGACAGAAGTGATGAAGTGCAAATGAGCCAAGCCCTTCAGGCTTAATATAAATTGTTGAAATATAACTACTAAGAAGAAGAAAAAAGAAAAAAAAAGGACAAGAAATACGCGGTAATCAACCTATCCCCTGATTAATCGTGCCCTTTTGCAATTTCTGCTCTCTCTTAAAAACAACTGCTCATTTTTAAAGTCTGGCTGAACCAAAAGCCTGTTTGTCAACTGCCTGCAGAGCCAGTTCGTGCCACAGTTAAGGTCGATAAAGATCAACACTTTCCACAGCTGGTCTAGGATCAGATTAGGTGCAGGGATTCTTCTTGACTTCCTGTAACATGTATTCCTGGTGTAGTTACAGTTAAATGCTGTGATTGTAACCTCCTCTGCAAGACTATATTTAAAAAACAAGATGCCATGCTTGCTCATGCATTGATTGTGTAAGGAGGGTGGAGACCAATTACTGACTGTTACTCTCACATAAATAAATAAATACTCACTGCGCTGCAGTCTCAGATACTCACACTGTGGGGATGTACTCTCCAGGAAAGGCATTGGTGGTGTAGCTGATGAGCAGACAGGTCTTACCCACAGCTCTGTAGGAGAGAAGATGTTGGATTAGCATTTATTGAGAGAAGGCAAAAAAAAAAAGTGTGACTGGGCTCAGATCTTACAAATACTGACATAAGCAACAATCATTACAATTTCATTTCTACAAATGGTGTTAAGATCAGTAAACGGCACTGCTTACAACAAAAAAAATCCCTGGTGTAATACTCTGGGAAAACGGAATTGTGTGATTTTCTAAGTTCTTCTTTTTGCAAGATAAAGCACATGAGAGCAGTGGTAGAGGCACATTTGCCAAATATGAAACTTTCTTGGTTCCCTTCAGCATGCTACCCTCATGTCTACTGCACAGTTCCCCTTACACAAAGCAAAATAAAGAGATTCAACACAGCCACGGGCTCTGAATGGGTCTTGCTGCTGCAGTATCTACCACACCCAGAGCAAGCGGTTATGAGTGCATTTACCTCCCACATATTGTTAGCACATCTTAATGTCACTGTCTTAGCTTGTGTGTTAATCCCCTGCTGCTGAGGAAGCCCTTAAATTTTGGGAAGCTGAAAAAGCGCTGTGTTTGTAGCTTTAACAGTGACTTGCTGGAATACAGCAGCGAGATGATGGACACACAGACACGCACAAAAGCTAAATTCCTAAGTAATAACAGCGAAACTTGAATTTAAGCTGTGGATGTACGACCTGCCCTGTGATGTCTGACTCACCTAAGAGTGAAAGATTAGTCAACCACTTGCACACTGGCCAGCCTGTATTACCAATACTTACTCATAACACCAACCCTAATGTATGAAAACTACAGTCTAAATAAATAGATAAAAATATAATAGTCAAATGCGAGTACCCATGTCGGCAAAATTAACAGGTAGTAAAAGATTAGCAGCTAACTTTACCCGCTCGGAAATTTGTTGCAAAGGGTTTTAACGTCAGCTACTCGGATGACAGCCTTTTAGCTACAATTACATTTTTAAAAGGTAAAGAAAAATAAACAGGTTTTTAATATAAACTAATACCCGGCTGGGTTTGGTGAACTTACCCGTCTCCGACCACAACACACTTTATGGCCTGCATTGCGCCGCGGCTAGAGGAATGCTAAGTTAGCCCGGGAGCCAGCTAACGTTAGCTAGAGTCTCTTTTCCTTTGTCCGGGATTGCTCGCTGGTGGAAAGTCCCAACGAGCGTCTTTCTCCACCGACCTGTGCTGCTACAACCGAGCTCCTGGGACGCGAAACAACTTAGGGGGGACTTACACTAACTTTATCGAGCAGTTTACGGCGAGTTTACTCGTGAATTTCCCTTCCTACATTCCCATGCTTTCGTAGGCTGATCTGGAAGCTATGAAGCAAAACAGCGGCCACCACCCCTGAGTTAAAAAAAAAAAAAAAAAAAATTAGTCTACAACACCACCAGTAGATGGCACATCCGGTGCACTGGTCCATACGCCCACACAGACTTTCGTCCTAAAAATCAACCGGAAGTAGCCGAATTTCAGAGGATTGAATGAAATGTATTATAATATAACAGATTTAAAGTTTATTGTTTAATTTAGTGTGGGAAAACAAATAATACAAAAAAAGTGGAGGGACTATTTATGGAATGACACTAAACGAGGAACTGACGTCAGCTACACGATCCCTGTAATTTCTATGGACTATGGCGTTTGGAATTTTTGCCCTCAATTGTGTCTTTCAGGCTAAGCTTTAAAAGAGGATTTGAAAGGTTTCTCTGCTCCAGCTTCATGTTTTTCTGTGGTACAAAGCATACCAGACATCTGTCCATACCCTAAAGATCATTCTTATGTCGTGATTACCCCAACTTTTTTTTTTATCATGACAAAATCGTATTTGGATGTAGTAGACAAGACCCACTGATCTCTCAGTAAACATAAATTGCTTCTTTGTTTTTGCTTTTGTTTGTAATTCACTAAGAGTTTTGTTATTAGAGCAGGAACTTTTACACTCCCCATTCTCACCTCCACATTTTCTTCTCTCTCACTGGCTCCAAAAATACCTCTTGTCTGTCTTCTTCCTTTGTCTTTGGTCAGCAGTAGGATCATTTCCATTTGTACCCTGTTGGTCGATATCTATGGAGGCAGACATTGTTAACCTGGGCCCTGATCAATTTAGTGTGGAACTCTCATTTTTGAGCCACAACAAGAAAGTGCTCTGAGTGCTAGACTAATGAAAAAAAGGCAGTATACAAATGCCAACCCTTGCTTCAGATTGTGGCACATTTGTTTATTTATTTGGCTTGTTTCTCACATACACTTGTCACTTTTGTTTGCTTGTTTTACTTCAATTTTTACTTAGTAATATATGTATTATTATTCTTCAGATGAAGGACGTTTCTTTTCGAAGTCAGGTTTCCTTCCTCATCAGCACTATACCTATTGCCTTTGGACAAATACAAATAATTAAAAACTAAATGATTTTGTCCGACCATTTCACTTAATTTCACATAAATAAAAACTAGACCTAAAATATAATTTCCACACTTGCAATCAATTTTAATCTTATATATTTAAACTTTGTGTATATTAATCTATTAATGTAAAACAAACCATTGTAACTACAGCATTTGTGTGTTGTCTTGTATTTTTTTTTTACCTACTGTCTGGATAAATATGAATATGAAGTTATGACACTTTATGTGTACTTCAGCTGTGATTTGTTTTTTTGTTTTTAAAAAAAATGAAGAACCATATACCTGAGAGTTTAGCCTCGGGGTTCCAGTTGCCCTTTATTGACTCTTACTTCCGTGTGTCACACCGTAATGAGTCCCCGGTAAACAGCTATCGGGGTGGAGCAGATTTTCCAACACAATCGATGTAAAAAAAAGGACAAAAATGGGGCTCGGTGTCGACGAGTGATATAAATATGAAGTGTGACACCTTTGCCATCGCTTCGCCTTACCAGATGACAAACTAACCCTGGAAACCAGCCAACGGACTGGGCTGTATGGCGGGTCTGTCATATTTGGTGCTCCGGTTTTCGGGCTCTGCTGGTCGGACGTACGGAATATTTTCGAAAGGCTTGACGAGGACTTTGTTGATATTTTTTGATCTCGCATGGCGGCTGCGAATCAGATTCCCCTATGTCTACCTCGTCGCCTCTATGATGTTTAATGTGAGATTACAGGTAATCATTCAGCCGCTGTAATCGGTCATCAACCCTCTAAACGGCACAGAGACAGCTGCTGATTGCAAAGGCCCCTCATGTTGGATTCATTACTGCCTTTGCTTTTGCCTGAATGAGCGACACGTTGTAAAAGATTTATCCTTAATGGACGGATAAACGATCAATTTTAACTACATTTAAAGCTTAAGGGTTACAGGTACTTAAAACTAAAGCTGCTTAATACAAGGAAAATTCTCCCTTTATCTTGTCTTTAATGCTCACTTTTCTCAATTAAGGAGGTGCCGATTTATTATTACCAGCATTTTATTGGCTTCCATTTTTAGTGCCTTAAGCTTTCAATGAAGATCTATTAGCTTATTAATGGCTTTAATGGATTATGTTGATTATTTTTGGGCAACTCTGCCAAATGTGTTAATATTATGCAAACAAAACAACTGCCTTTTGTTAGCGATACATTGAGAAACTGTAAAAAAAAATATTTATTTGTTCCTTATTTTATTTATTTTAAATTATTTCCAAGATACACACATCTTGGCTGACCAGGAGCTGATATATCTGAAGCAGGCAACAGATATCCTGGTCGGGGACTTGAGGTTTCATCTGTCTCCAGATTTAAAATATTGCTTCTAATTTGCTGCCCTTTTTGGGTCCTGTTGCGTGACCCAATTTTGGCCAAGCTACAGCTGTCACATTTGACTCAAGAAGATTTATAGAGAGGAGTTCATAACCGACTCAATAACTTAAAGGCATCCACGTCCTGTGGCTGCAAAACAAGCCCAAATCATCATCCCTCCACCACCTTGCTTGACAGCAGGTGTGAGGTGTTTGTGCTAATATCCTGTGGTTGGTTTTTACTTTGGTTTCGTCTGTCCAAACAACATTGTTTCAGAAGTCTTTGGCAAATCTAAGCTGTGCTTTCATGCCGTGGTCAAACTTGCTGATGATCAGTTAATCAAGGGCAGCTGATCGTCAGCTCCTAGCTGCTACTTACACACTTATATCCTGTGGAAGCGATAAGGGTGACCTAGTTTCTCACTGAAGGGGATAAAGTCCTGTGAAAACTTTATTTTTCATATAATTGCAGTTCAAAAGTAGATATCAAAATAATAAATGAAGATGAAAATACTAAGAAGAGATTGGATAAACACACTTTGCATTGTTTGTCCACCAGAGGGCACTCTGCAACTTCACTGTCAGCAACACGGTGTTTGGAGCAAGAACCTGCTGATATGAGTAGAGTCAGGCAGAGCATAAACAAGTATATAAGTAACTACTCAAGACAAATTTTGGAAATGTTAGGGAAGCCTATTTAAAAAAAAATCCCCAAATATCTAAGTTGGTCAAAAATCCTATCCTACTTCTCTTTTTCTTATTTATTTAGCACTACCTAACAGAGTTCTCATATCTTTATAGGTTCACATCGAAATCCACTGAGTCTTCAATGGCTGCATTAACACTTAACAATGGATAGTGTGCACTGCCACGTTCCAGCCATCAGAAAACACCGGCTGACCACACACAGCGATGTGAAGAAAGAAGACACTTCAAGACACTTCAGTCCAACACAATAACGTGGCTGTTCGTTTTTGCCGCCAGTTACACGGCCCGGCGCCTTTGCAGGTGAAGGGAAGCGGTGATATCTGCAGATATGAGACAGGGTGAGCGGCGATAGATGGAGCAGATGGAGCGGGGAAAGAGCCCAGCAGTCACCGATTCAGGAGAAGCTCGTCAGGTGCATGAAGATATTTCCCCCGCCTTTTCTCTCTGATATCGAGGACTGTAGCATGAATGATTGTTGCTGTGAAAGCTTATAGTTTCTCTTTATGTCTTACATGTACAGCTGACCTAAATTAACAGTATTAGTAATCACCCAAATCCTTTTTTATGTTTCTGTAATGGTTAATCCGCCAGTATGTGCACGTTCTATAATTAAAATTATATTTTAATGCTAAAACATAATTATTGTTATCCATGAATTTTCAAATTTATGCCCTTCAGGTTTTCTGTTTCATCAAAGAAAAAACATCAAAGCATTTTTATTTAATAGAAGGTGCCAAATTACAGTTATTTACTTGCATTACTAAACAGAATATTCAGTTTGAGTCGTTAAGTCCAGTGTGCGGTTCAAATCTGGGTGTAAAAACATGAATTCGGTTTGAAGACTCAAAATGGTCAAAGATCGAGAACTCACCGAAAAGGACAGAGTCCGCATTAAAGTACTTCATGATGCCGGATGGTCTTTCAGACAAATAGGACAAGACATAAAATGTTCTCACAGCGTGGTCAAGTACGCTTTGGAGTCAGTTGCAGGGACCGGTACTTACAGAATGCGCCAAGGAAGAGGCAGAAAACAAAAGCTGACTGACGCAGATGTCCGGCACCTCAAGATTTTAAGTACCAGTGACAGAAGGAAGACCACTGCTGATCTTCAAGTAGAGCTAAATGCTTCTAGAGCAGAGTCTGAAAAGGTCTCCAGAATGACCATAAGCAGACAACTGAATGAACAGGGCTTAAAGGGGAGAGTCGCTGCTAAGAAGCAGTTATTGAGGCCCACAAACATCCAGAAACGTCTCAGATTACCCAGGGAGCGCAAACACTGGACTGTAGATGTCTGGAATAAGGTACTTTGGACGGATGAGTCTGAGTTTGAAGTCTTTGGTCAGAATAATCACCGAAAATCTGGAGAAGGTTTTGATGCTTGATGCACTGCACCCACAGTAGAGCACGGTGGAGGTTCCATTATGGTTTAGGGTTCCATTTCTGGAAACGGCGTGGGCAAATTCGTGAAAATTGACAGTATTGTGAACATAAAGATCTACCACAACATCTTGGTGGATCATGGAATCCCTTCTGGACTGAAACTGATTGGTCGTGAGTTCATATACCAACAACACAGTGACCCCAAACATACTTCATAGCTGTGCAGAGAGTATTTGACCAAGGAGAAGGAATCTGGAGTACTGGAACTGATGGACTGGACAAATCAGAGTCCAGACTTGAATCCTATTGAACAAATTTGGGATTTGGTGGATTTGAAGATAGATTGCACAAAAGTTTCATCCACAGCAAGTCTCTGGGAACAGCTGGAAACTATTTGGAGCTCGGTAACAAAGGAGACTGTGGAAACGTACATAAAAACAATGCCAGTAACAATGCAAGGCCAACGGAGGCCGTACAAATTATTACGTTTTTCTGTTTGTTTGGTTATTATTGGTGAATAAGGACTATTTAGTAGTTTCAGTTTGTTATTT